AATACCTCGATGGGGCCACTCCCTGTGGAGATCTGTTACCTGAGAAGGCCCAAGACTCCTCCAAAGTCACAGAGCCATGAGTGGCAGGGCCAGAGCAAAGTGCAAGTCTCCCCACACCACTCTGGTCTCAGTATTTCAGGAGTGAGGAAGTAAGAGGCCTCCCAACTGTCAGGGGCTAATTTAAGTATCCATATATCGTCCAAATGGGGACACTTTGAGAATGAAAGAGGACTTTTTTTTTTCTTTTGAGAGACAGAGCCTCACTCTGTTACCTGAGCTAGAGTGCTGTTGCATCAGCTCACAGCAACCTCACACTCCAGGGTGCAAGCGATCCTCCAGCCTCAGACTTCCAAATGGCCGGGACTACAGGCGCCGCTATGATGGCCAGCTGAAAGGGTACTACTTTTAACATACACAAACACAAACTGAAACTATGGCCGCTGTACTCACGGTGCTGCCTCTGAACGGAGAGTGTTACAGACAAGGGAAGTTGGCCCAGGGAAAAAATTATGCGTAGGTGGCCGGAGTTCAGACTCCTGCCAGAGTCACAGTGCCTGTCTGGCTCAGACCAGTCATGGCTCCAACAAACCCAGATATCAAGGGGAGGGGGCAGTGAACCCAAAGGCACGCCTCCCCCACACCCCCTTCAGCTTCCTAGCATGGACTCTGAGGACAGCAGAGCTGTGCTGGGGTCCTACCTCTGCCACTTACTGCTGTGTGACTTCAGGGGAATTAGCTTTACTCTCTGAGTCTCATCTGAAAAATGAAGCTGACTGTAAATCCTAGGGGATTATGTTATATGAAATAAACACCATCGGTCATGGAATAATTCTAGCTGTTATTATTTTTATTTATTTTTGGCTTTTTGTTTTTGTTTGTTTGAGACAGAATCTTGCTCTGTGCCCTGGAGACTGCAGTGGTGGCATCATAGCTTGTAGCAACTTCAAATTCCTGGGTTCAAGTGAGCCTCTTGCCTCAGACTCCCATGCAGCTGGGACTACACGTGTGTGCTACCACACCTAGCTAATTTTTCTATTTTTTTTTTTTTGGAAAGATGGGGTCTCACAGGTGTTCAGGTTAGTCTGGAACTCCTGGCCTCACTCAAGCAATCCTCCCACCCTAGGATTATAAACATGAGCCACCACTCCTGGCCTACTAGGGTTCACTTTTAATGATCATCATTACTACTAGCAATAGCTCCAAGGGGCCTTTGTCTCTCATAGTCTCTGATCCAAGAATTGATCTTTGAGAAGAGAAGAGAACAGAAGAGAAGAACAGGCTCAGCGCCCATAGCTTAGTGAGTAGGGTGCCGGCCACATGCACCAAGGCTGGGGGGTTCAAGCCCGGCCTGGACCTGCTAAACAACAATGACAACTCCAAACAAAAAAATAGCTGGGCATTGTGGCAGGAGCCTGTAGTCCCAGCTACTTGGGAAGCTGAGGCAAGAGAATTGCTTAAGCCCAAGAGTTTGAGGTTCTGTGATCTGTGACACCACAGCACTCTACCAATCCTGACACAGTAACACTGTCTTGAAGAAGAAAAGAAAAGCAGCCAGAGGTAGGAAACCTTGATCGACATTGGTATCCAAGTAAAACTTCACCTCAGATCTGCCATTCCCTTCCCAAGGCCTGCTTTACTTCTGTCGACATCAGTTTCTATTTAAACACTACGGTGCCAAGAACTGTCATCACCTACTATTTAAACTGATCTCCCACAATCCCTTGGGCTCAGAACTGCAAACACTAAAGCATAAATTCCTGTATCCTCCTGGCTTGCTGGGAGGGTCATTCACATTCAAATGCAAGAGAGGCATCAGTCTGGTGAGCCAGGCTCTGCTACACCTGCAACCTGGATTCAGGCCAGCTCCCCCCATACTCCCCTTCTGCAGGTAAGGCAACACCTCCCCCATGATTGTCATCTCCACACTTAATAACTAGTGTCAAGGAGCAGAAAGGGCTTCACAGAATGCCTGGCACAATGTAGGCAGCAACATAGGCATAAAATCAAGGGCTTAGGGAATGCATAGACTTCATTCCAATCCCAGCTATAATACGTATCAACCGTGTGGCCTTGGGTGAATTAATTAACCTCTCTGTGCCAGTTTCTTCACATCTAAAATGGGGTGATAATAGTGCCTGCCTCGAGGGGCTTTTGTGAGCACACAGTTCCTGTCATATCTGTATATGTTAGCTTCTATTATTTGTTATAATAGCAATTGTTAATTTGATATAGAAATATAGGTAAAGGACCTATATTTTATTTCCAGGAAACTGGCAAAGGCTTCATGGAAAAGGTGATAGGGTGGGTAGGATTTCCACAGACAGAAATAGGGGATGGTACATGTAGCTTCGGTTCTGTCATCTGTAAATTCAGGCCAGGTTTCCCAATTTCTTTGTCTGCACCCTCTTCCTATCACAGCCCTAGAAGAATATAGGTAGCCCCACTGGGAGGGGAAAGATCAGGCTTTCATGGACAGAAGATGAAGAGGCAAGAAGCTAGTGCTGAGAACATGTCATCTTGGCCTTGAAAATTGGTCCATAACTTTGGACATGAACTACCCAGTCCTCCTTGGTCAGATAGAGTCTTCTGTGAACATCAGAGATAATCCTTGCTCTAGAACAAGTCTAATTCAGATTTTTTTTTGCAGTTTTTTGGCTGGGGCTGGGTTTGAACTCGCCACCTCTGGTATATGGGGCAGGCACCCTACTCCTTGAGCCATAGGCACTGCCCATAATTCAGATAAATTTTCATGATTTCCATAAACCTATAGTTGGCCTGGCTGGTCAGATGGAGTTAAAATAATAAAAGCTGTTTAGTTACCCCCAGTGGGGGTGTGGTGTAGCAGGGTGAGCATGGGCTGAAGAGCCAGCATGTGGGGTGGCAGGGCAGTGCGATGGTTAGGCACATGGGGTCTGCAGGCAATGTGACTTGGATGTAAATTACTGGCCATCAAAGAGCCTCTCTGTTATTCTGTTTCCTCATCTCTAAAGTGGGGATAAAGATGGGAATGGCAAGCACTTGAGAAACACTGGCCTTTATGTGCAGGTCATTGTTCTAAGTGCTTCACGTGAAAGAAGTCATTTAATCCTCCCAACCACTAAGAGGTCAGTACTACCACTATCCCCATTTACAGATGACGAAATCTGTACCTACTTTATAGTGCATTTGTACCACTGTAAAGGTTATCTAAGAAAAGGCATGTGAAGAACTTAGCACAGTACCTAGGATAGAATAAATGCTCAAGAAATATTAGTTAGGCTCGGCACCTATAGCTCAACCGGCTAAGGCACCAGCCACGTACACCTAAGGTGGCGGGTTCGAATCCCCAGCCCGGACCCGCCAAACAAC